CTCCCAATATTAGGACATTTTTTGAAAAAAATAACACTACGACCGTCGTACACGGCATTCTAATCTAAAGATTGTGTTGCTATTGTGAGTCGTGAAAAATATATTTGATAATTCGTAAACACGTTTTCTGCTGAATGACTCTAATGACTGTTGTAGGTGCGATATATTATTATATTGGATATTATGTTGGCATTAATTGATTATATACGTTCATAAATAAAATTCGCAAATACCGATACGGTAACTATACCAAAAGATTGCAGGGGTGGTGCCAGCAGGGGGACGGGTGGCCTGGGCTCCGTCAGGGAGAGTTGGCCTCCCGTCGGGGAGAAAAAGCACAATTTGAAACCCCTAAATTGTCAAAGTTTTCAGGGGCTTCGCCCCCAGGACCACTTTCTAAACAAGCTTTTAATCGAAGCTCGACCACGCCCACTTTGGTTTCGTCGGGGAAATCTGACTCCTCGTAGGGGCAACGACCCCCCGTTGGGGACCTTGGCCCCCCTTCCCCTGTCGGTCAAATCCTGGCGCCACCCCTGGGTGGGGGGGTGCAACAGTTTCAGAATAACTTAATAAGCGAATAGCACATGCTGTATATTGCATTGAAATTTTTTTTTTTTAAAGTGGCAGAACGGGGCGGTAGCCCTTCCCTGTGACGTCCCTCTCCCTGATGGATCTTCCCCTGTTGTTCCTACCCTCTTAGTGAAAGTATAGCATACAGTAGCCTAGCCTAGTTGTTAGGCATGAGAGATATTTCTCTTGAATCCAGGTGGATGCATGTAGGCCTAAACTAAGGCTATCTATCCGAACTACTGACATTCAAAAGCACCCATAGATAAACATAAATTCAAGGTATTGATGGAGCTGGCTTGACCATAAACTAAAATTTTAGTGTCGCTATCTATCTTAATGCACTAGGCCTATCCAAATCGAACCGGATTCGAGAGACAGAGGATAGGCCCTAGGTATGCTAACTAAACCTGAGCCTTAGGCCTCTAGGTCGAGGCCTATCTGTCATCGAAATTATAGGCTAGGCTAGGCTAGAGCATATGACAAGCCTAGGCCTGTGTATGTAGTAGCCTAGGCCCTGGGCTAGCCGGTATGCCGAGGTTATATCATGGCTTGTTCCCAGGTGTATCTTTACTTTTACCTGATCGACTTCTAAAACATGCCATTTATTGTTGATGTTTTTGAGCTATAAAACTACAATAATATCCGTGTATTTAATGTAATGGGAACAGCATGCCTGTCACAGTACGGCGCGGTGACGTAATAAAGCTACGTCGAAACGTAGACTGGTTCTTTTTACGGCCTGCCTCGACTTTTTTAGACCTATGCAATGCAGTACAGAATAGATGTGATTAATTGTATTTACGTTAACAAAGATAAATGTTATCTTTGTAAACATTTAATATTTTTCTATTGTTTAGTTATAAGCAATTTTTCATTGAGACATATGGTGCTAATTTTGACACAATTGTTTATCTTTCATAGTTAATTATAAATATATTCTTAATTGTTGCCTTTGTTTGATTTACAGACTTGTGATTTTTTATCGGTGTGTTTGAATCTTTATCTTAGTTAATTTAATCTCAAGTTTTTTTTTTATTTAGTTAAGTTAAACTTTTCATATCTAAATTGTGTGTTTTTTATGCCTTTTTTTAAAGTTTACTTCATTGTCTGTAAAAATGGTTAATTTGGATGCACCGCTTTTTTTTCTTGTGTATGCTACCGATCTCATTATTATATACTAAAGGATCTTATAATTATTCATTCAGATTGTCCGAAATATATCAATCCTCTCCATAATTCAATAAATAATTTATCCTAATAAGCAATTTTTCATTGACATGGTACCACTTTTGACATTTGTTTGTCTTTCTTTTTTAATTCTGAATTTATTTTATATGTTGCTTTTGTTTGATATGCAGGTTTGGGATTTTTATTGGCCTGTTTGAATTTTTATCAATTACGTTAATTAATTTTCTCGGTTTTGTTTAGCATTAAGTTAAACAAATTATTTCTAATTGTTTTTTTTATATGCCTACTTTCAAATTTACTTCACTGTCTGTAAAAATTGTTAATTTGGATGCACAACTATTATTGTTGTGTGCCACCGATCTTAAGGTGTTATTCCTAATAAATTGATTGATTGATTGATTGTGACGTAAACAACTTGCGAAACATGGCAAAACAGGTACTGATTTTCGGTGGTTTTTGGCTGTTTTTTCGTTGTTATCCAATATCCAGCCTTGAAAAGTAGCGGAATGTGGTCGTGACATAAGAAAGCCCCATAGTGTATGAGATATGAGCACATTCCTGCTAGCGGTTTCAGAGGAGATAGGTGAAGGTACGCGGTGGCGATTAGCAGAATTAATATAGATAATCTGTCCATGTATACTGTAGGCCTATTTTCCTAATTTATAAAATAGGAGGAAATGTTTTTCATATTTACTTAACAATACTGGTTTGTTCAAACGTATGATAATTTTTCTACAAGATGCTCTTTCATAAAACTAATTCTTTTCTTTATAGAGAGAGAGAGAGAGAGAGAGAGAGAGAGAGAGAGGCCTTATTTTATGTCAAGCGTTGACAGAGACTAGAAGAGAATTCGAAATATTCGTATATTCGTTGCAATAAATGTTAGTGTTCACGTATTTAAGTCATTACCGTTTAGTATATATATTACATAACATATAATACATATATACCTATATACTGTATATCATTTACCGATCTCGCACAGCGAACAAGGTACCATAACAATGCGCTATATAAATAAAACATTTTTACCTTTTACCTTCATAAAACCACAAGTTTGCGTAAACTTACCGTAAAGTTTTGGACGTCAATACTCATACCAATATGTTTATCGTACGCATACATTTCAAAGGTACCGCCATCTTGCACGTGAAGTGTTGACATATGAAACTGCGTATCGGAGTTGTTGATTCCAAAACTGGCGTTTGTGTCTACGAAGACATACCCACCATCAAAAACGAAAACATCTTCTATCCCAGTTACCTGAAGAATAATCATATAACTTGTTTTGTGAGTGGAGCGCAGTGGAAGGGAAATAAATGAGATCGACTACAAGTGGGCGTTGTCAGATATGTCTGAGTATTTAAAATTGCAAGAGCTAATGCGAATCACTTTATTACTGACAGAAAATATAAATATCTTGGTACTTTAAATAAGTTACGGTAACTTTGGTAAAGAAGTTTGATTGAATTAACTACAGGTACTGAAGATATGTCATTATCACATGGCCCGTAAGCTATAAGGGTCTACTTGTTCTTAATTAATCATATCTACTGCACTGAACATTAAAGTGGAATGTAATGATATAAACACGAATTATAACCTTTCCAGACGCTTTCATTGAAACACCTTTAAAGAACGCCCTCTTCGGTTGATGGAGATGACCAGACTCATAAATACGACTACTAAATGGTACATCAGGATGAGTGACATCTATATACAATGACTGAGCATAACCAATGTGGATGAAACCTAAATGGAAACATACAGCATTATTAGTGATTATAGTTTTATATTTTTTATCTCAATATCTATAATTCTACATATACACATATTTATTTTTTTTTTCAAAACAATATTATGTATTATTAATTTTTATATAAACTCTCACTATCAAATTTAAAGCGAGCGTCACATTCCTGGCTCAAGAAACGTGCTGGGAGAAGTTTCTAAAATTCAACTTTCGTTTCAACGAGTGCAGTGGCGTAACTATCGCAGGTTTAACAGGTTCATTGAACCTGGGCCCCCGAGCTCCAGGGGCCCCAGATCTATAAATAAATCTAATAAAACAATGTTTATTGTGACATTGAACTATTATTGTATCTGCTACTTTCCAGCTAGTGGCGTAACGCCGGGGCCGGGTCCCTGTGGCTTTCAGAGACCATTGGGGCCATTTTTGGCTCTAACTGAAATCACGTCCGCCATTATACATTAAAGAGGGATAATCAGGGCCGTCGGAACCGCACCGGTTGGCCAGACCTTTATCTATTAATGGAGGTATAAACACTCAATTCATCTAGATGGCAGTGATAAGAGGTTAAATTTTGAACAAGTTACCATTTCCCAATAGACCTACATTGTTTTAAAATAGGCTTACCATTGGGAATTAGTCATTATTTTGAGTCATGCTACTACCTTCAACCGAAAGGTCCACTGATTAATCTCAGATAAGATAAGAGGCCTATAATACATACTCCAAGTATTGAAATGCACGCCATCGTGTCGGGATTCAATATTTTGACATTAATTATCTCATCATCAAGAATCATTCCTGATGATGACAAAATTAATGCCGAAATATTGAATCCCGACACGATGCCATGCATTTCAATACTTGGAGTATGCATTATGCTATTACCTTCTGTGTCCAGATATAACATTTTTAAGCTGAGTGCTTTTCTGGGCCCACTCTTTAGCATTATGTACAGGGCATTTTTGCGAGTATAGGCATAATGTTTTTGAGTTATAGGATGCCCTGAAAGTCAAACTTAAACATTACACACACACACACACATACACACCCGCTCCAGGCGACCAAATCAGCTATGGGGATCTCTTTGGTCTGCTGTGAAGATAACAAAGGCATGCTCTGATCGAAGTTTTTAGGCCTGTACGGGCACTCCGATATATACATCTATAAGCAAAGTTACAAGGCTCTCCTGGAGGTCAAAGATACTTGATATATATAGACCTCGCAAAGAAAAATATATCTGTTTATTTTTTTTAAATAAGCCGAGAAAAAACAAAAAATATACAAAAAAAAAAAACCTTGACAGCGAGTGGTCATAGTTTTGAATCCCGTCGGAGGTCATTTATTACACAGTATATTGATTGATTAATTGATTGATTGATTTATTTATTTATAGGACAACATTCGTTGAGAGCGATGCTACACGATGTATCACTTGTCCTTTATTAGGACACTGTATGATGTATATATAACATAACAGTATTAACGTCTATCATAATTTATATTATATGCTACTATTTTTTCCAGTCGCCCATTGTGTAATGCAGTGTACCTGACAATTATTTGAATCTGATCAACCATGAAGCCTCTGTTGTCAGCGAGAGGTCGAATGTTCGAATCACGTCGGAGGCATTTTGTTACACAATGTACTTATTTATAGGACAACATTCGTTGAGAGAGAGAGAGCTATGCTACACGATGTATCATTTTTCCTTTATTCGAAAACTGTACACTTTTTTGATGATTTATAAATAAATTAACAGTGTTAACGGCTATCTTGATTTATATTATAGTACATTATATTATATATATTATATATGATATATGTTATATATTATATATTACAATGTGTATAAGAGACAGATAATTTCACATTACCTGTGGTGTCACCTATCAGTTCTCCAATTTCTACATCAACATTATCATACAAATTCCCCAATGGCATTATTGCAAGATGCGCACCACCAGTTATACTAAGTTGATCGAACTTGTATTCTTTGGTTCCTGTTTCTGGTTCTATCCAAGTTCTAGCACTATCCAGCTCACGGAACTTATATCTGTCGAAAATAGAATGTCGGATATGCATTGAGAAGATGTGATATTTCGTGCCTTATAGGCCTATGTTTGTAATCGTCCTTGAGTTGTTTCATAGAACTATTTGTATAATAGGAATAATAACGTAATACGGTACCGGATGACGTGTAGCTGACAGCACACAAAATGTCGCATACGTATAATCTATTATTGTGGATTAGTAAAAACGAATTCAATTTACAATATTACATTCAAACCAAATGAAATTATACCAATATCATTATGTTATTATTTTATTTGTAAATCTCTAATGTTTCGATCCTTCATAATTAGCTTTGGCACATTATTTGATCGAAACATTTTTTGTCATTCATTTATGGACGAGAAATCTTAGTTTAACATTTTTGTAGTTCGAAATTTATTAATTATTAATCATGTTTAAATTTGAATTTACTGTTGTGAAGACATTATTTAAGTCATTCTATCATTGTTTTAAATTCATTATGATACCTGTCATATCCATATGTACCATCTTCAAATATCTCAATTTCAGATAACCCTGCATACGTATTTGTAGCCACCAATTCCACTATCACCTTATTAATGTTACGGCGTACTGGCAATTCTAGGTACATCCCGTATTTGCACTTTAAACTTGGCTGTATATAATCGCTAGTTAGATAACTCGTATCACCAAGATGTTCTGCTCGCACCTGCATTCATTGAGACAAAAATAGATTGTAATCATCGTTAACTCTATAGAAGATGCTAATATTGGAAATCGAATAAATAAATAAATTCATAAACCTACACTATGTACCAAATAATGTGGTGATTTATTAATATCGAATTTTATGTATTACCACAGAAGTGAAAAACATTTAAAAAATGGTTAATTAAATATTATTAAAATATTATGTCAACCTACTCGGAATTTAGATGGATATCTGCAGACTGGATAAATCCGCAAAACATTGATGAACTTAACGATACTAAAATCAACAGTCAATGTAGCAGTTGACGATGATGCTAAATAGTAATTTGTATGACCAGAATTAAAAGTTTGATCAAACAGATATTGAAGCCAGTAATAGTGTGGATAGTATACGTTATTGTATGGGGATCTGCTGGTTGTAATTGTAATTCCAGATGAAGACGTGAAACTATTAGTTCTGTGGTTAGCATTAGGATTTGTGAGATCCAGCCGTCTTCCAATGTTTTCAACTTGGTCATCTATGGGGCTACGTCCATTGTTGTCAACAATAAGCGTTTCATGATCAGTGTCCATGTGCTTGAGGTACGCTGTTCCAGAAGCCCCGGATTCTGCTGGCGCTCTGACTGTGCCGCCATGTATGTTGAAAGCTCCCTGAAAGAAATCATGAGTGACGTTGCTTGTGTGGTAGATTGCGATCCGACCACCAGATCCGCTTCCTCCAGTTCCGACACCAGCACTCCCTGTTACTTCGAATGCTCCAGTGTGACCACCTGTCATGGAAACGACATTTTAATATATATCATTATTGAATAAATGTCATTTGAATTTGAATTTGAGTTTGAATATAATAACATGATTATGTTATATAATAATATATGATGATATCATATCATAGGATTTCGTTAAGGTCTTATGTTTTTATTCTTTCTTATTCATTTTCTTTATATGCATATGAAGTTATGTTGTCTGAAATAAAGTATTACATAATATAACATAGTATAAATTAGATTTGTAATGTTAGCTAAGTTTTGCCATTACTACCTGTGAGGGCGCCTGTTGTTATCAAAATACTACCACCGCTGCCACCACTACTTCCGGTTTGCTTCGAATCAACACTATTCGCCGATATATGGCCGTCCACACGTAATATATTTTCAACTTCAATTTCAAGAATGCCTCCTCCTAAATAATTAAATAATTGTAATATTAGCTTATAATGTCAGCGCTACGTTATTACTTTTTTTAGCATTTATTTTTAGATAGCATTGCATAATGCTCCTTAAATTTGACGGGTTGATTGAAAAAATTGAGTAAATATAAAAAATCGAATAATAACACGTCATGTATATCCCATAACGCAAAAATTATCTATCGTGATACAAAAAGACATCAACAGCGAGAACAGAAAATTACCATACTGCCAACTGAAAATAACTGAGATAGAAACTACAAGAATGAGATGAACTTCTACTTCTTGTATACATCATTAAGTTGTGGAAATCAACAATTATTCCAAAAACTGACTGCTTCAAACGTTTTAATAAAACATTATTAAATCTGAATTTTCAAAATGCATTAGATATGTTGTGGTATTATACCACCTTAACCATTAAAATAATTTAACTTACCTTTTCCAGCCGAAGTACCATGACCGCCACTTCCGAAATCCATTGGATACAATGTATTTCCATAGGGAAGGTTACGCCTCAGACGACAGGTAAAGATTCCATCGCACGCACCCCTTCCACCAAGTCCCCCATGCGAGGCCCCACTAGCCCAATGACCGTTGGACACACCAGGGGCTGAAAGAATAAAATACAAACTGCATTTTTTTTAAAAAGCTATAGACAGTGTTACTATGGACCTCAAACCAAGGCCAGTTAATTAAGAGTTTCAATCACTAAAATCTGAACTAACTTAGCCGGATTTAGCATTATTGTAAACCCGTGTAATTGCATTATTGAATTTAGTATGTACCACATCCACATGGAATTAGGGAGACATTCATGTTTTAAATGACTTTAAAACAGTTACCTCGACCTCTTCCAGGTAAATGACCTCCATCATTTGCGTCAATTCGACCACCATCATCAACCACCATATCGGTACTTTCAATTTTCAAATGTTTACTATAAATTGCGCCTCCTCCTTCAACAACCAGAGTTTCTGTATCCAACTTGTATTGATACTCGTGCGCATGTTCCCCACATGTGAGCATATAAGAGTCGGCCTTTATAGTGACAGTTTTATTGAAGCGATACCGAAGTGGTGGCAGCATATTAGTAGATGAAGTGTTGAGCATGCGCATAGTAGCACCATTATACATTGTCAAAATATTGACATGATCCATTGTACCTTCGAGGTGTACAAATACATAACTGAGAATGGTCTCTGAACCAAGGCCTAGATACCCAAATTCATATACGTAAGAACTGAACGGAATATCAAGAAACGGCCGTTTCAAATCCATTACCTGGTTCGGACCAATATGTACTTTACCCGTCCGATCACCAATCATGTGACGGAAGAATAACGTCGCTCCGTGGTCATAAGGTTCTGTAAGAATTGCAAGCTCAGCATTTCCATATATTTGTAATTCTTCGAAGTGATAATCTCTCTGTCCATTAGCAAAGAAATGTTCTCCTGCTTGGGGAAGGATCCAAGCCTTAAATGAATCTGTACTGATATCAGAATGGTCGAGTGGGTTTGAATCACACATATCATCAGCATCAGGGACATGTAGCATGTTGTTGTCAATTAGTAAAGTGCGATGTTCATAGTACAGATGATACAAGAAAACGGTTCCAGGACCACCATGTCTATGTGATTCATCAACATTGATAGCAGCACCACCAAACGATTGGAATGATCCTATGAATGTTAAATTGGACCACAAATATACAGCAATGCGTCCTCCGGCACCACCTGCACCTCCACCAGTTTCCTCAACATGCCCACCGTTGGCTGTGATGTTACCAGTACCTTTCATCAGATTACAATTTATAAAAATACTGCCACCGCTACCACCTCCATGACAACCAGTTACAGATTCTCCATCGGAACTGATTTCACCATCTAGATGAAGTACGTTGGTGACATTAATCCACACTGTACCTCCACCAGAACCACCTTCAGTCCCGCCACCAGAGCTTCCATGGTCATAAGGCTCGTACATATTTCCGTATGGTTGCCCAGTCAAACGAGTCCCAGTACCCTTTCCGCTGGTTCCTCCATGGCCGGCGCCCGAAGATCCTCCTGAGGACCCTGATCCACTGCATCCATCAAAACCTTTACCAAGATTGATTTCATATTCTTTGTCGATGGAATGTTTAACAGCAAATCCCTCAAAGTTGACATCCAAGAGTCCACCGTCGTCAATTGTGATGTTTTCGGATGTCACCGAGAGTCTTGTTCCGTGGAATTGCCCCCCTCCTTCTATATACAGCACTTGCGTAGTCAAATAAATACCTTGCTCAATTATTGGGGATGTGACGCCGAGAATCATCCCGCCATTTTGTATCTTTACATCGTTAAATGTATAATAGTTAGGATCATTTTCTGCTGTATATCCCCCATCTCTCATCCATAAAAGCCCTCCGCGTCGAAGCGTTATGTTTTCAACATGATCTAGGACACTGTCTAACCAAATGCTTACTCCGTGCACTATAGTGTATGGGGCAAGGCCTAGATAACCACCAGGGTATTCTATTACATTGAATGGCAGGTCAATGTCTGGACGTTTTAAATCAAGTTTCTGATTGTTTCCAATGTGCACAGTACCTGATCTGTCTCCTATCATATGTCTGAAGTGAAGTGTAGCATTACTATTAACTGGATGAGTTAATATAGCCAAATTTGCCGACCCGTATATCTGAAGTTCTTCAAAATGATAGTCATATGTTCCATTTGCAAAGAAATGTCGACCTGATTGTGGTAAAATCCAAGTTCTACAACTATCTGTACTAAGGTCATTATAATCGTCAACAAGATGAACCTCCTCAGTTATGCCTATTTTTTTGTGAATAGTATACGGAGTTGACAATGGTTCTCGCCCACCGTTGTCAATGATAAGGGTTCTGTGCTGATGCACCAAATGATATAGAAATATTGTTCCGGCACCTCCGTTCTCTGCCTGATGTTCGCCACTACCACCACCAACACCACCTCTAGCATGATAATCAAATCCCGACATTGTCTCATTGTTGACGAAGTACATCGCCATTCTTCCTCCTCCACCTCCTCCTGTGCCTCCTTCACTAGATTTCGTAGAACCCTTTCCACCATTAACTTCGTACTTCCCATACCCTTTAATGGTGTGAGTATACACCCATATACTACCACCACTGCCACCAGCACCGCCATTGGTAACAGCAAATCCGCCATTTGCTGTAATTTTTCCGTCAATTAACATAGTGTCTGTCACATTCATCCAAATGATTCCACCGCCGGAACCTCCATGTGCGCCATTGCTACATATTTCCCCCGAGCTTCCAAAAACGTATGGTTCATACAAATCCCCGTAAGGAAGTCCTGCTCCATGAGACTGAGGGGATGACCCTCTTCCACCACTTCCACCATGTCCTGCACCCGAACAGTGTCCATTCGTCGCGTCTGGAGATCCGGGATTGACATCACCATGTAGTGAGAGTTTTCCGTGTGTGTCGTTACTATGAATTGACTTGTAACCCAGACCATCTGCCATAATCACGCCACCAGCGTCTACGGTGACGTTAGTGGATAGGAATGTCATACGTGTACCATGAATAAGTCCCCCTCCTTCTACAACTATTCCAATGGTTTTAAAAGTTATTCCAGGTTCATCAATTGGATCAGTTTCTGCCTTTATTGACGAATCATCTTGAACTAGAACAAAATCGAATTCGCAATTACTTGGTGGTTGTCCCGTTGTTCTTCCACTATGTTTAATCCAAAAGAATCCACCGTGGTGTAAAGTTAGATTTTTCACATGGGATAATGTGCCAGCATGGTGGATCTCCACATCGTGAATAACAGTGGTTGGGGCTAAACCTAGATGACCGTCATGATAAACATGTACATTAAATGGTAGATCGATTTCCTGTCGTTCTAAATCCATCTCTTGTTGGTCCGCAACATGAAGAGTTCCTGTTCTATCTCCGATCATGTGTATAAAATGAAATGTGAGTATCTTTGTGGATGTTTGACTGAACTGTACCCTAGACCATCCAGCAAGCGTATCTAACGTTGCATTGGGAGTGAGCGCAGCTAAATGAGCGCCGTCAAATATTTGTAGCTCTTCAAAATGGTAATCATGGTTACTACCAGCAAATTCATGAGAGCCAGATAGTGGAAGAATCCAAGCGCGACAACCATCGTCATCCAGGTTATTCCAATCAATAGACTTCGTACGTGGATGCAAGCCATTATTTTCTACGTAAAGACTACGATGGTCTTCTAATTGATGGTAGATAAATATAGTGCCAGGACCACCACCTTCGCATTCACTAACACATCCAGACCCAGGATGTCCACCATGAGCCTCGTATGTAAAATCACTGAACGTGTAGTTTTGCTTAAAGTACATGGCAATTCTGCCTGCTGCTCCACCCCCTCCATGCGTCGCACCGTTACCACCATTTACAGAAATTGTGCCGTAGCCTCTGATTGCATTACAATGCATCCAAATACTCCCTCCACTACCTCCGCCACTGGTTGCACCATTTCCATTCAATCCATTTGCAGAAACTATACCATCAATATCAATGGTGTCGGTAACATTAAACCATATTCTACCACCACCTGGACCACCATTTGTTCCACCACCAGCGCTTCCAAACTCCTCAGGCTCATATAGGCTACTGTATGGTTTTCCGGTTTTGCTCACCCCTATAACAAAATGATAAACAAAACAAGCATTTAATTAGATACCAAACGTGAACGCTTTAATAATAATAAATGTTGACATCATTTAAGAATCACCTTTTCCATGACCACCACTCCCGCCGTGTCCTGCCCCGGACGCCCCGTCGGCACCGGTAAATCCTTGCCCAAAGTTAATTATACCGTGCATACCAACACGAAGACTTCCATCGGAGTTGGTACTACCTCCATGAGAAACGGCATATCCGAATCCATCTGCGCGAAGAACTCCTCCAGAGTCAACTGTAATGTTTTCTGAATGCATGTACAAATGTGTTCCTTCTACAAGACCTCCACCATCTATGTGCAGTATGCGAGTGGTAAATCTAATTCCAGATTCATGTACAGCGTCAGATACCATGTGTATATAGCCGTCAGTTTGTACATGGACCGTGTCAAACTCGTAAGATGCCGAAGAAAGATTACCAGTATGACCATCTCGATTCAACCAAAACCTTCCACCATGATGCAATGTCAGACTCTCGACGTAATCCAAGGCACCATCCAGGTAAATTGTGACATCATGTACAATAGTTTCTGGCGCTAGTCCAAGTCTGCCATCCCGGTATACTCTCACGTTGAAGGGCAAGTCTAGTTTCTCTCTATATAGATCCATAGTTTGGTTCTTTCCAATATGGACTGTACCACTGCGATCACCAATCATATTTTCAAAGTATAACGTAGCGGGTGAATTTGGTGGATTGGTTAAGACGGCAAGATGTGCACTTCCGTATATTTGTAATTCTTCAAAATAGTAATTAAAATCTCCTACAAAAGAAAATGCAACCAATAGTAATAATAATAATAAAAATAAAAATAATAATAATAATAATGATGATGATGATGATGATAATAATAATAATAATAATAATAATAATAATAATAATAATAATAATAATAATAAAATGACCATTATAATTAACGGAGCACTATTACTATTATTATAAGTAGTCTTACAATAATTATTATTATTATTATGATTATAATTATTAGGCCTATTAGAAGTAGACTTTTAATTACCATTATTATTATAATTCATATTATTAAAATTCACGGTGGCACCGAAACTGTGACTGCTTTTTTTCCAATATATATTTTAAAATACATGAAAATTTTGCGAGACCCATAACATATGTAAGTGTGACGTCACAAAAAACTTGATTAAAAATGATAGATTTTACTAAATTTAAAAGTTAACAAAAGCATGGTTGTAACATAACTCACGAACCCATTGGCTCCCTTTTACTATCGCCATAATCACTATGAGGACATGGTAAAAATCAGCTACAATCTGACCTAAGTCATCCACCTTCAACGGAGCCAAAGTTAAGTGCCATAGTAACGCGGTGAAGATGTTCTACCACCGTTAATTTCTTTTTCCTACTTGAAAATTTTTGTAAGTACAATTATATAGATTAAAATTTGATAAAAAAAATTTTGGTGAATAAATACTATTGCTAATATCCAACGGATTTGCTTACGGTTTGTAGGCCTACTGCATAGATCTAAATTCTAAATTGGCTATTAGTCAACAATATTTTTCTTTTAGTTTCACACTTGTTGACTTTGGCGTATTTAATCGAGACACTTTTGCCAAGTTAATATGTATCAAATAATTTATGAAAATCGACTAAGTTAATTTAATATTTAGTAATTTATTACATTAATTACCAATACTTTTCTCAAAGTTGCATATCTTAACAATTATTATATTGTTGAATATTTTTGAATGAAAGACCGACGAGCTGCTTTAGCATGTTATTGATACACAACAAATTACATGTTACATTTATTTGGCAAAAAAAAATACTATTGATAATATCCAACTAGGGGTGGATCCAGCCAGAGATGTCCAAAAGTGGGTGATGAAAGAGAGAGAGAGAGGGGGGGGGGGCGTAATTTGGGCCGATCGAGATAAAACTACCGGAGGGTCCGGGGCATACCCACGCAAAATGTTTGTGTTCAAGACGCCTAAAAATAACATCTGAGGCGTTTTGGACGACTTTTTTTTCATTTTCTTCCTTACTTTCTTTTCTTTTTTTACTTTCCAAAAAAATGGGCGGGGTGCCCCACCCTATACCTGCCAATGCCAACGAATTTGCTAACGGTTTGTAGGCCTACTGTATAGATCCAAATTGGCTACTAGCCATCAATAATTGACTTTGGCCTATTTGATCGAGACACTTTTTCCAAGTTTTTATATGCATTTAGGCCTAGTAACTTTCGATAACTTTTCGAAAATCGATTAAGAGAAATTGATATTTAGTAAATTATTACTTTAATATGACCAATATTACTAATATTTTGTGTAAATTGTTACATGTAACTGTTAGAAAATGCGACAAATGTAATCAGCTGATAGGTTTTTTAGAGATAAAAACAAAGAAAAATATAAAAACATACCAGCAAAATCATGGAGCCCTGATGCCGGCAATAGCCAAGTCCGACTTTCATCTTCAGATAAATTTGTATAATCATCGATAGCATTCTCGTCCTCTCGCGGTCCTTTTCCATTATTATTGATCACAAGTGTCCTGTGAATATATCGGGTATGATAGAAAAACACCGTCCCTGCTGCACCTACACCCGATGATTCACCGCCATTGTTGCCACCGTAGGCCTGCCATGATCCCGAAAATGTTCGATTTAGAGCAAAATATATTGCCATACGTCCTGCAGATCCTCCGCCTCCTTCATGTGATCCATATGTATGTCCGTTACCGCCATTCACTGAGATGGTACCATATCCCTGTATTAAAATTGTGTTCATTATTGTTCCGTGTATAGAAATCTTCTAGGCGCCATTTTAGAGTACAGTACTAAGTGGAAAATATTTGTTTTTTTGTCCCCAGACAAGGAGGGGGGGGGGCGTTCTCCTCGACGGGGGCCCTGGCTACTACTAATACTACCTACTGACTACTAGCACTAGTCTGTAATTCAATATGATTTTGGCCTTACTCTCTGATAATACATTCCTTACTTGCATATTTTGCGTGTTGATCCAAATTGTTCCGCCACTACCACCACCGGCTCCATTTTGTTTAGCCGATTCGCCATTTGCACTAATTTCACCATCAATTTTCATATTTTCTGTTACAGTTATAGTCATTGTCCCTCCGCCTCTACCTCCATGCTGACCGCCACCTTTGCAACCCATGTGGTACGGTTCGAATAAATGTCCATAAGGTGCACCGGTCATCGTCTGACCCGAACCACGGCCTCCTCTGCCACCATGACCAGCACCTACATTGATCAACATATTCAGTTCACTTAAATTGATCACTTATTAATCTTGATTCACACTAGATAAATTTAGCTTGTTCCACAAACATAGGTAACGACAATATAACGCCAGTAACGACAATTGTAACGCCCCCACCCTAACCCTAACCCTCCGCGCACCCCTAGATACGTTCAAGTAGTTAAAAATCACCTAAAATCACTTTATTTTGCGAATTAGCGCCCCTCAACTGATCATCGATCCTCATCCCCCATCAGCACAACTATTTTAAGACTTCTAAATACGCCACTGACTCGCAAGCTGTGAGAAAATTCTCTCCAGCTTCGTGCGTAAAAACTTATACTTCTACAACATGTAAACCAAAATGTTAAATTTATGTAATGTCAAACATCAAAGTTTTACAATTAATGTAGAACTTGATCAAAAGTGATTCATTTTTACTGAATTTAAAAGTTAAGCACAGATGTAACATAACCTGAACTCCCGAAGCCATTGGCTCCATTTTTTCCATCGCCATCATGATCACTACAAGGGACCTGGTGAAAATCAGCTACAATCTGGCCTAAATCATCCACTATCAACGAGCCAACGTTAAGTGCCATAGTAACGGCGTGAAGATGTCCACCACCTTGAACATGTATTTCATAAGCTGTAATAGTGATGTTACTAAGGGCGTCATCACCATCATCTGCCGCAGTTACCTCTCCTCCATCTGTTATAGTTAATGAGTCGAATCTAAAATGACCGGCAAGTCCCCCTGATGCAAATTCCAAAGACGTTTCTAGTGATTCATTAATTAGACGAGATGTACCAGTCGGTGCTAGAAGAAGTCGACACCCCGAACCAACAATCATGTCGTGGACACTGATAACACCTCTGAAATGTTGTAAAAAATAGTTCCAGTAAATCTAATGTCAATTATCAAACGTTATTCCAACCGTTTATGCTTGTTCAAATCATTCATGATTGCTGAATCCTTGGTTGTTTGTGTGTTTGTTACATAGGTACTAATTATGTGATATTTCCTAAATAATTGTTTCCCAAATAATCACCACTCTCGGTAAGCACTGTATTAAACGTGACACAAACGCTGCGGCGAAAATGCTATTTTGAATAAGCATTGATATTTAGTATCATCGGGGAATTTTTATGCAATCGATTTCCCACGGACAATATAATATCGATGCTGTATAAAGTATAAGCTACCTGTAGGCTTTAACATTTTAACAAGATGTAATGGGGTAACATGAGAAACACCTTCCATGTGTGCCACTCTTGAATAAGCATCGAGCATTGAACTGAAGCGGCCGAATTATTTAGCAGACACTCGAACATTTACAAGAGAGGCAGTGGCACTTTCAAACGAAATATAAATGATAATAGGTTGGATCTTACCTTATTGTAATTTCAACGTTGTAACACTCGAATGTAGACGGGAAAACGATGGTTCCACCTTCATAGACATGCACGTTTAGCTCCCATGTCCCATCATTTTCTGGCCGTACAACAAATATCTGTCCCGGGCCAACGTGTAGAAATGATGTTGTATCACCATGAAGAGAGTCTCCACGTAATCTAATACATAATAAGTATAATTTGTGGGTGTTTAAGTCTTAATTATTATTATTAATATTTATAAGGCGTAAAGGTAATAGCATTTTGGTGTTATATCATGGTCTTATCTAAAATATTGTTATTTTTTTCACCGGCTCTTACCGAGTAATGTTGGAATCTGCCGAAAAATGGGTTTTCTTAATTATCACGATGTGATCCAAATAAGGTTCTTCTTCATCCATCGAAAGCCATGACCTACCAGTATCCATAGCAACATCTTGGTAATTTAGAATTCTCTCAAATGGTGGTGGTCTGTTGTTATTATCGATTAGTAAAGTTTTATTTGGTGAATTTGGCGGCAAAACCTCGAAGTAAACAGTACCAGCACCACCGGTACCATAGCCACCGCTGCCACCATATGACGTCAGTTGACCAAACCACCAGTCGATAGCACGGTAGAAGAGAGCAAGTCGGCCACCTGATCCTCCTCCCCCATTTGACCCGCCGTTACCACCGTTAACCTGCGGAGAGCAAATTGAACAATGTTGCTTCTGTAAGTTTCCCACTTTATTTATTGCCAACTAATACTATACTAGTAATAATTGTCTCTCTACGTTTTTGATAATTTGTTCTGATGGTGTTTTGCATCAGGAGTTTAGTAATATGAGTGATGTATCTGGCCCTAACTGACATGTTACCGTATTGCTCTGCACGTTCATAATCACACAGTACGATAACAGGTCAGGTAGGGAAAAAACCATAATTCCTATTAACACGTATTGTTTTAAAACGATTGTATCGCTTACCTGTATAATGCCAGTGCCTTCTAAATTTGTGGTGTAAATGAGAATCGAGCCTCCACTAGCACCACCTTTATTTGATTCACCGGCATCACCCATAGAACTAATAGAACCTTCGACTGCTAGAGTAGTAACGTTCAACTTTATTATGCCTCCACCTTTTTTACCAGTGCCGCTTCCGAAACTTATGGGTTGATTCATTATGCCATAGGGGGATCCAACATATTCATCTGTCATCCGTAAATAATGTATAGTATCATAATAACATGTGTTTCTGTTATGTCAAGTAATGTGCCCATAACTAAATAAGTGCAGATAATTTAATATAAAATAATAAAATATTATCTCGATAAATATTTAGAAAAGTTGAATATATCGAAAAGTTATTTCCTACCTGAATCACGCCCTCTGCCACCAATAGATCCATATCCAGCTCCAGATGTTACTCCGGACGGAGGTGATCCAGGGCCCCCACTGAACCCCTTTCCATTTACTAACAACTGCCCCGACATCTCCACCTCAATGCGTTCAGCTGCGATATCTAGAACAGATCCACGAAGTAAGCCACCGCCTTCAATAGTCAATTTGCCTGACCTTTGGCCCTCGCCTGTCCCTCTCAGTATCTAAACACAAACAACAGCCACATAATGTAATATAAGTAAACTTGCTATAGTACATTATACAACGGTCAAGAAAGGTGAAATTATACTTAAGAACAATTTTCAGTATTACACCAAGTCCATAAGTCAGAGACAAGTGTTCCGTTCATTTATATTTTGATGCCATCATTTACAGGATAGAACTGGACACTCGCTGCGCCCGACTTTTGTCAACCGACGCGACCAACCGGATGACGATCCGTTCAGACTGCCACTGCTTCGTGTCGTCTAGCGCTTACAGGAAGCGGACTTGGATTCGTCGTACGACGCCGTTAGACGCAGTGAGTGCCCAGAAAAAAAAAATGTCCAAAAAAAATTAGGTAGGTAGGCCTATGTTATAATTTGTTTAAGATGGTGAAATTAATGTGTTTTAGAATTTTAGGATTTAGGCCTATAAAAACATGTAAGCAATATAGAATTACGGCCATCATTTGTTAACGCCTACCTCACAGAAGCTAAAAGCTCTGTCACACAAAGAACTTATCCCTAAACGGTGAATGTGAAATGTATGCTTATGGCAGATCTTTGTGAAAGAATGTATCAAATTTAGTTTTAATTTGGATCCACACCGTTGTCAACAAAAATGTCTAGCTTATATGCTCTATGATGATTAGTAATTGTTATTTGGATAAAAATATATGAATCACATTTACTGGCTAAGACATTTTACTACTTTATATAGAACGGGAAACCATATGTTGATTAATCGGTTGGGGTAAAAACACAAAAATAAAACGATTTGTAAATTGTGTTACCTTTACAAACCACCTGTCATCTTCATTCTCATTCGCACTCTTAAAATCTAAGATGCCATTTTCCTGGATTGTGATACCGACACATTCCAGGTATCGCCTACTTGGAAGTTCCATCGATAGTGTTGTACCTGAATTGACTAACAAATTAATAAATCAATGTGTTATTGACTGTATTATATTTAGAAACAATTAAACAAGTCAACTTCATCAGATTAAGCAGCTAATTTGTGTATAATTTGTATTTTTTTTGTTTACATATATAATAATGTAATAATTATATACTACCGTATCCAATCAGGAGATGCGCTCTAGAAGCATCTAAAGTTCCCCAAATCTTTACATTTGAACTAATTAGCGCATTCGACCCACATCCAGTTCTGTACGACTCTCTAAACTCCACCGTCGCTGTGGGAAGTATCCATGTTGCTCCTTCATATATATATGGAGCCCAAGTTACATTCGCTCGTATGTAAGGTGAGACCTACGACAAAAAGATACAATGCATAGGCCTATGGTTGGTTGAAACAAATAGTATATTTTATTGGTAAATTCTAAAATAACAGGTAAAATAATGTACTCGGCAATGAAAGGCACGTATTGACGTATAATTTATCGGTATGTCCTTAATATCTTCGATTGGCAAGATGCTCATTGTACAGTAAATATATAAATATAAAAAACCAGAGGAGCGACCGAATAAAGATCAAACTACTTAGATTAAAAATTAAAAGAAGGAATATTTTAAATACTAGCAAACAAACAGGCATATCCAATGGGCATTGCTACTTACACCATCAACGTCCAGTATATGATTCGGTGCAACGTGTATATATCCAGTATCATCTCCGTGTATCCACTCCGATCTAACGATCGTCCTGTCGCCAGCGAACGTCAGATGTGCGCCTCCGTAAATTTCAATGTGCGTAAACCTGTATTCAAAATCATCTGTAGTCGGCAACAAGTATGCGATACTTCCTACAGAGATCATTATCAAAAGTAATTTTTTTTGTGAAAATTTAGATAGAAGGTTTGTAAAATAATAACAAGAATATGGTTAAATAAATAAATAAATAATAGTAATAATAATAATAATAATAATAATAATAATAATAATAATAATAATATTATATGTCGATATTTTTTTTATTTATAGCGCTCTACAAAAACTAAGTAAACATACACAAACTGTAATATACCTGTACTTATATAAGTTTGATATTGTGCTTGTGTGGCGCTGGTTCCAGATGGCATGGTAACCTTTAAAGAGAATCAACAAGTTTCATATTAACATAAATAATTTTACACAGAGAATTGTGTAAAGTTGTTCTTTCCAACTGGTATAGGACGCAAATATTGATAGTCAGACTATGGTTTGGGCTTAAGCGAATCCAGGTCACATCTTCTTGTGGATTAAAATATAGTATATCCGGGTAAAACAGCTATTCACGAAGTGATAACTACGTAATAGATTAAACCATTCCAGAAGTACATACAGAGTTTGCTCACCTAATCCCCGGACACCATTATTCCGGGTACCATTTTTTAAAAATATTTCACATTATAGTAAATTAATTATTTTTAGATGTTATGGCCCATATTCTCGAAAATGAAAGTTATTCTAGGATAAACTTTAGTTTCCTAATTAACTTGACGACTATATAACATGCCGTTAGGTCAGTCGGTGGCATGAGCTTTCAATCTCAGGGTCGTGGATTTAAGCCCCACATTGGGCGAACATTTTAGTGAAAGCAGCTAGCTCAGACGGCTAAGCTGGTGGATATCTTGGTCCCCGGTGAAACGCCCATCGCTGCTCTCCTTGCGTTTTAGCTGAAATGCAATTTTCAAAATGTCTTTCAGATGAGGCGTCCGTGTGCTAAATGGCTCATGTGCATTTTAAGAAATGTAGTACCCTATCGGAAAAGAATAGAGTTAGTATACTGCCCAATCACAACCGGAAGTAACACAATGGAAATAAGCCTCAGGATTTTTGTGGGTTATCCTTGGTGTTTATCACACCGAAAAAATCATACCACTCCAACCAACCTTATGTACCCTACCAGGAATTTTATTTTTGAACCCTAAACGAGACTTCATTCAGCCCATTGGTTCAGATCCCACCCCCTGTCGGACCTCCCTGTCGGAAAAAATCTGGAGCCACCGCAAAACCTGTACAGAGAACGCTAAAATGAGGATAAACCGGTATTTTTAACAATCGCATTGCCTTTCCTTTCAATTTAATTCTAACGTTGTTAGTGAGGTACGTTGTTCTTAAAACAACTACATTCCTTTTTACTATACGTTTTTATACTGATCGCACTGTATGTTTTCTCACAGATATTTCACTTAACCACTACAGGCCAGCAAACACAATGAACACTGTGGTTTTGTTAGGAAATCACGTTACACACAAAACGTTGCAACGTTATATTTAGTTGTGATATTACCTCATAAATATCATGGATTAAAAAAATTGCGTTTATTAGAGGATGAAGGGGTGGCAGCGGGCAAACGAATTTATATCCTGGTTTGGATATACAACCGAACGGCCTTTTCTCGTTTCTCATTGAAATTAGCTCACTCCGTGCACCGATACTTTTTGGGATGCAAGAGATGTTTAACTTTCCGAATTTTATTCATGGTTCTTTTGGTGTTTTTAATATTTTTACAATGATATTTAAATGCTCATTTTGCAGTATTTTTAATTGTTTCATGTTTTTTTTGCCAGTGAAAAAGAATGTCCATTTTACTTGTGTTTAATGGATAAATAAAGTTTGCTTTGATTTGATTGAAACTACTACGCGGACCACGCGATATCCCAGAGGGTGTACCTACCCATTGAGACAATTATTTTTTTCCACTGACCTCCAAAAACACTATTTGTACTCAAAACTGTTAACATTGCTATTATGTAAAATTGTTGGCTCAGAGATCCATGTCGCTATATTGGTCGTTATTGCGCTCTTACAGATGCTAACTAATATTTACCTGTGGATACTGGCATTTGTTGTCGATTCGCAAGTTTTTGATTTCAGGTTCAATGCCCTCTAGGTAAATGACACCTGGTCCTCCAGCTTCAGCTCCTCCTCCACCTGTCAAACAAATTAGCTACTATTACAATTATAAAGACTGGTTTTTCTCATGAGAGCCCTAGTATCCGGATCGGGAGCTAACCGTTAGCGTTAACCGTTAGCACCTGCGTGAGAACGCCCGATCGGTTAGCGCTAACCGTTAGCGGTATCCGGATACGCTAACGGTTAGCAAGCGCTATCGGATGCTAACCGTCAGCTGCCGTTAGATGCCGTGTGAGAACATAGCCTAAGCTATGCTCTCACACGGCAGCTAACGGTTAGCAGGATCCGGATCCTGCTAACCGTTAGCTGCCGTGCGTCCATACGAGAAGATCCCGATCCGGATTCCAAGAATATGATGATCGAATCACTGGCCAATAAGAAACTGGAAATTGTAAACGCGTACGTGTGATTGGTTGATGATAGAAACGCGCTCAACGTGCTAACCGATAGCGCTTGCTAACCGTTAGCGATACCGCTAACGGTTAGCACTAACCGATCGGGCGTTCTCACACAGGTGCTAACGGTTAGCACTAACGGTTAGCCACCGATGCAGATACTGGGCTCTCGTGAGAACCAGACTATAGTATTGTAATGTTAGGGGGACAATATTATCGAGCACACAATTATATAACCAAATACATTATCTTATTCCAAGTTATGTTCACACAGGGGCGGATCCAGAGATTTTCTGACGGCACGGGGGGGAGGGGGCACAATATGAATTCACCCTGTCACGCCCACCTCCGCCCCACCATGGTTGGTGTAAATAAGCGGTAAACAATCGTGCTCTCCTTTCACCCGCTGCTGGATCGCCACTGAACCCATGGTGCACTCGCTTTTCCCCTTTCCTCTTTTTAACTCAAATTTTTCTCCCTCTTTTTTATTTTTCGGCTTGACAGGCGGATCCGCGCCTGAAATAAGTTATATTTTATAATGTTGTTCCAGAAAAATTATTACAGTTTAGTAACTATTTAGTAATTTTAAAAGCATCGATTTTATTTGGCTCACAGAATCTGAATCTGTGTGCGATGTTGGTTTTTGCTTATGTATATTTTTCAAAGACATCTCTAATAAGTAATTATCAGTTGAAAATATAATATTTATCTATACTTTTAATAACAATATCTAAAAAAAGTTGCTGTATTCCAGTGATAAGTGCATAAGAGAAGAAAATGATAATAATTATAATAAACATGACAATAATAATGATGATGACGATAATAACAATAATAATAATAATAATAATTATTATTATTATATAACAATTTTGGCTGAAATTACCGTTGAATATTGCTTGGTTACTGTGGAAATTACCAGATCTGTAAAATACCGACATTCTTCCGCCAGCTCCGCCCCCTGCATTGTTATTACCTGCTCCGCCGATGCCGTGTACTCTACCTGATCCATAAAATCCATCGCATGTCACCCAAAATCCTCCTCCACTTCCTCCTCCGGCATTAGTAGCCTATAAAGTACATGTTATATTATCAATAATATACCCAACATCAGTTGTCGAATGTTGCTACCTGAGGTGAGATTTAGTTACACGTTCGATGTTAGGCTTGATAATGATGAGGATGATTATGACGAAGAAGAAATAAGACTTACTCCATTTTCTCCATTCAGGTATATGTTACCATTTAACGTAAACGTTTGAGTGATATTTGCTTGGAATCTTCCACCTCCGCGTCCTCCATTTCCTGAGCCAGAGCCTCCACCACTTCCCCAGCTAGATATTTCATAGATATTACCATATGGAAGATTGCCTGCTATCGTTCTATGGCTTGAGTATCCCCCTCTACCGCCACGTCCTCCATGACTAGCACCCGATGCGCCATATATATATGACACTCCTTTCCCTAAAACAGAAAATTTTCATTGACTAACAATCAATGCATTCGTGAGATTACTACCTCGATAAATAAAATATAAACACTAATAAGTAAGTGTATATGATAAATATATATTTAATATACATAGCCTACATAATAAATTCTTGTATGTCATGTTAATTCCGCAATCATTTACAAGGTATAATAACCTCACGACATTACTTAAGAATTATGAAAACAATTACCTGGGCCATCATCGCTTGCGTGACCGCCTCCTGTAACATCAATGCTACCGCCACCACCAACACTAAGGGATTGACACTCTATCAGAAGGGAGCCTGCCTTAAGTTTTTTATTGATAATAACGCTTGTAACCAAAATAATCGAGTCTTCACATCCACCGCCTACTACTGGGGTTCCCTTGAAATCCAAGTCAACTGTTCCTGTTGAAGAAACCACTAAACTTGTGCCAATTAATGAGGCGTTGACGTTCATTGGTGTGAACGTCTCCATTAGGCCGTTTATAGTCACAGTATCTACGTAATAAAGATTTTTTGGCTCAAATTTAAATGTTCCTCCACCACCAACTGTTAGGTCCTCCCATCCGACGCCAGCCTTAAGTAAACCACCATATAGGTTACCGTTAACAGTAAGGTAATTAAGATTGAAGGTAGAACCATTAGTACTCGACCATGCTCGTGTGGTGTGATCCTCCAAAAGTGAATCTAATTTCATCGTTCCGGAGACTGTGATAGAATCGGTGTTATTTGCTGACCGGCCTACAAATTCAGCTTGATGGAAAACATTAACAATTCCTGTGGCTGTAACAGCAAGGCTATCGATGGTTACCACCGTACTAGCATCGAATGAAAAGGATCCGCTTACATCCACTGTGTAGGCAGTTAACGAGAGTTCCTGTGCTTCACAAATCCCCGAAATTCTCAAATCGTCGATTAAAAATGTGGAAAAAGTCAAATTTGTTAGAAACGTGCTTACGTAGTTGCCAGCGTCCAAATAAAGTGAACCACCAGAGCGAATGTGGAAGGCATTAGTAAACGATGCGTTTCTTCCGTGGATGACGACAGGATTTAATATCCTGACTTCACCAGAAATGTCAGCATTATCCAAATGTAGTTCTGATGGATCATAGAGCTGAAACTTAAAGGAACCTGTAGAAGACATTTGTAGAGTTAACCAACCAATACCGACGTCAAGACCACCTGGTAAAAATGTACCATCGACAACTACGTCATCAGCGTGGAGCTCAGAAAAACTGTCACGCCAAATCTGCCATCCACCAGCATCTGTATCCAGATGGACCTCACCACCAGTTCCAATTTTAAAAAGTTGCACTCTACTCAAGGTAAACCCGCGAATAACTAATATATTTGACGTTTGGAATACTGCATTGTTCAGGATGATAATACGATCACAGAGGAAATCATTTACAGACTCAAATTTGAAAAGGCCATTTTCAGACATGTTCAAATATTTCCATCCCTCAGTTACATGTTCATTCACTTGTATTTGATTCGTCATTCTTCCAGCCAAAAACTGACCATCTATAGTCGCAGCATCAAGTCCAATAGTGGATGTGTCTGTCCAGTTGTTACTTATCCTTCCATTCTCATCTATTTTGAAAACACCCTGGGAACCAATGGCGAATGTATGAACAACAAGATCTGTTTTCCCGCGTAATAATATTGCATCGTTTACAGTCATGTATCCGTTGATTTCCATGTTGTTTATTTTCATAGTAACTGAAAATATAATGAGATTTTCTCTGATGTTTGTTCTTGAATTTTATAAAATCATATGTATATAATATATATATATATATATAAATATATTCTTATAACGTTTGATTGTCTTAGATAATTTGAACCTTTTGTTTATATATATGCATATTTACTTAATAAATTATATATTTGTTATTGTGATTTCATACAAATGTGTAATAAGAGGGAGAAACTCAAGGAACAAATAAACAAACAGCATCATAAAACTGGTGGTTTGCTGATTGCGACATGCTATAATTACATTATTAGGTTTAAAGTTAAGTCTATTTAACTAAAAACACAAATAGAGACGTACCAAATCCTTTCGTTGATCTAATTTGCATTACAGTTCCAACAGTTGTTAAGACTGTGCTGCATATTAAATCATCCACCAGAGTAAACGTCATGTGTCCATTTGCAGCCAAAGTAAAGTCAATCCATCCAGTGTTGACGAGAAGGTTGTTAAGGAGACCAATGCTCCAGCGTCCATTAATATTTGCTGTGTCCACACCAATGGTTGAGATATTTGTCCATTTACCGTTCATTCTACCTCTTTCATCAATGTAAACATGTCCAGTACTGCCAATTGTGAATGCATTGACGTTATTACCAGATCTGTCAGTCATTAATACTGCGTCATTAACACTTAATATACCATTAATTGTAATGGTATCAACTCGAAACACCTCTGTAAAATAAGATTGGTTAAAAATCAGTTACTTACCAAAAACAACAAATGGGGATTTCAAGATAATGTTGGTCAATTTACCTTTAAACATCTCTTGAAGTAAATTGGTACAAAGGCAGCATTATTAAACATTCACGATTTATTTTTCAAAAATTAGTGAAGTTATATTTTAAACATTAACATTGCTAGCATTATCAGACTACTACAAGACAATCGAAAATGGGCAAAGGTCAAATAAAAAATAAAAAGGCTTTTGATAATCAAAATTTGCTGCACTGGAGTCACAGGTTTATGGTCGACGAAGTGGAAAGATGTTGGACATCCCATTCTTTGGTTGTTATACCCAGAAACGATAATATAATTTGCTCAAATTTGAACAGCTAGTAGTATCCTTTAAAAATTTAAAAATACGATTTTAAATGTGTTATGATCTCCCGACACAGTATATTGTGTTTATGGTGCTCAGCAGCAAACCTAATCAAGAGTCTGGGGGTTAAATCTGCACGTTTAAATTAAATAAATGTTTGCACGTTTATCCTATATGTCTCCGTGGTGTAATGGATATGACACTCGCCCTGACAGCGGGAGGTTGTAGGTTTAAATCCCACAAGAAACACCTTTTTTCATACAATTACGATTATAATTATATATATGGATCGATAGATATTAAAATGTATACAATGTATGATACGGACAGTCACTTACAGGTCATATGTTTATGATTTGATAAATGACTTACCAAAATTTAGAATACTATCTATTTGCACTTGTGTTCCTGATTGTGTTGTTATGGTAGTACAGATAAATTCGTTTGTAAGGGTTAATGAGAAGTGACCATTGTCCCTTAAAGACAATGACTCCCAACCACTTGAAAAAAGAAGGTTATCAAACAGCCCCACACTAAATCGGCCATTGATATTCGCATTGCGTACGCCAATGGTTGATACATTCGTCCAAGATCCAGAAATACGTCCTCTATCGTCTACGAACATGTTGCCAGTATTGCCGATAGTAAACGACGATATGCGGTCGGTGGGTGACGTTCCAGACATCAGAACTGCGTCTGTTATATTAAGTTTACCATTTACCTCAAGTTCATTAACCCTCAACGTAGCTATAAAAGAGAAAATTAACAAACAGATAATAATATACTTCACAGTGAAATAGGGCTCCTAATACCTACTGTAGCTAGATCATGTCTTTATAACTGACAAACTTAAGGATTTCTCCTGACAACAACAAACAACTTAATAGCCTACTCACGGTAACAATTTGGATACAGAATATAAAAAAAATCCTAAGTAAGAAGAAACCTTGTTGGACGGACAATTTTGAAAGTGTGTAACTCTGAAGATCGTCTACTCGTTTATCGTAAATTATAATCTAGAAATCATTGGTCTTACAATAAATCTCAATATAACTAAACAAACGACAATAGATGACTACATTTTATTACCGACACCACTAAGAAACACAAACGTTTTGAAAGAAAACGAGCTCAATTACCCCTTCACAAACATACGAATTCGCTTTTGAGATATAGAAAAAATAAATCTAGAATTCAGCTAGTTAGACCCTTCCTAGCTGATCACACCACTTGCAATCGTCTTAGAATTCACAGTGAATTTTGTGTCCTTTTTAAAGACTAATAAAATAGTGAAAAGGTAGATTTCGATATGCATAGTCCACATAGTGTATCGAAGACAGAAAATATTTAAAAAAAACATGCCATGGTTTTCGAGTTTGTGTCATTTACCGGCGACAGCGACGATTGGATTTAAACAGGTACCGGTACATATTTAAACAGAAACGTATATATTCATAGCATTTGAAAATAAATTTCCAAATGCAGTATTATTTGGAAGTGTTAACTAATGTTGAACTGTGGTACATACAATCAAATAATGGTAAAACGTGCTCAAATAATCTAACTTAATCTACCAAGCTCCAATTTGTGAGGGCGTATATCAGTTGTATAAATGTTTTTGAAGTGTCTTGGTTGGGTTGTATTTGTGACATACACGTGCCTCCGTGATCTTATAGTGTCACACTCACCTCGAAAGAGAAAACCCACGGGTTTAGTTCCTGCCAGTGGCACTTTTACAAACAATTGGTATGGCAATTTAGTAGGTAGGCTCGATACGATCTTTACATCATTGTTCCTTTATTTGAGCACACAAAACAGGATAGGTAAATCAAGTATCAGGTCACTTGGATAACAAAATGCTTACCAAATTGAGAATAGTATCTATTTGTGTTTGTCTTCCTGATTGGGCCAAAAAATGATTTGTTTGCCCTCTTCCACCCAAAAAAAAAAAATAAAATAAAAAAAAGTTTCTTTTTTTAGCTTTTTTCTTTACAAATAAAAAAAATGTGAGTGAATTTATTTTTATTGTTTGCCAGATGCCCTACAACTTAGTCTAAAGTTGTTGTCTGATGTAAGATATTGCCATTCTAGGCCTCTGTGGGTTATTTTTATTCCATCTGATGAGTTTAAAAAAAATAAATTAAAAAAAACTTTTTCCGCCCGCCCCTATTTATCATTTTTTTTTAAAGAAGAGCAAACAAACAATTTATTTTTTTGGCCTTGTGTTGTTATTAGTACAAACTCGTTTGTAATGGATAATGAGAGATGGCAATTGTTCCTCAGAAACAATGACTCCCAGCCAACCTCTATCTCTAAACCATGTGTTTCTAAAATGCAGTAGGCCTATTATTGTAAATAGAGTGGAACTTTAAAAAAAATGTTTGGGGTACAAGATGACCAATTTTGGACTTTTAAAGTCTAGAAAACGAAAAAGAAGTTAGATATGCAGAAAGAAAAAAGATGTATTAGAATCAATTAACAAACTACTCATAAAAAAAAAATAGATAAAATGTTGTTTAGTTGGGCACATAATCAGAAAAGAACATATTGAGGAACTAGCCACAACAGAAATGAGTAATGGAAAAGAGATTGTGGCAGATCGAAAGAAAGTAACGATACAAAATTAGAAATTGGAAACAACTAGACAGAAGCTACATACATGCCAAAGAATGGCGAAAGGGGCAGCAGTCCAAATTCTGTTCCCCTTTTTTCGGCAAAACTTCCTGGATCCGTGCCAGAATGTTTGAAAGTGCAGTTTTAGTTGACTATGGGACTACCAAATACGGCAATAAAACGTCTTTACTCACCAAAAGCGTTAAGACTATCAACTTGTACTGTCGATCCTGTTTCTGTTGTAAATTCATGACATATGAATGTATTGGATAAAACGAACTCCATGTGCGCGTTCATACCAACAGTTAACGTATTCCATCCGTCTGGAAGAAGAAGATTGTCCAAATTCCCTACCAGGAATATTCCATCAACAGTGGCATGCTCTATGCCGATAGTCGAAACACCGGACAGTCGTCCTGTTGCATATCCATATTCATCTAGGTACACTTTACCAAGGCTTCCAATATTGAATGAGTTCACTTGGCTGGCGTTAGTTGGGCCCGACAGTTTAAGTGGGTTAGCTATGTGCAGTTCACCATCAACACTGAACGTATTTACCCGTAATGAACCTATGAGTACAAGTATATATATATATATATATATACTGTCTCTTATACACATCTAGATGTGTATAAGAGACAGATATNGAAACAGTAACCAATGAAAATGTAAAACATTCTAAAATATATAATAATGGTATCAATTAAGTAAATATTTATCAAAGAGTATATAGGCTATAAAAGAACAGGTTATTGTTATTAATTTACAATCATCTACGTAAGCACAGAATTTCAAATAGAGGGGGCCCAGAGAGGGACTTTCACAGATGGGTCTTGTTACCTCAGCCCCACCTACATAATCGGAAATGGCACTCTTAGACTCAACATATGCGTAGAATTTTCTTTTTTTTTCTCAATTTCTTTTTACATTTTTGAAAAATTTAAGGGGACCCGGTCCGGCTGCCCGCCCAGGAATTAGCCACTGTACCAATATCTATACTGTTTATTAGTAAACTTTTTAAATTATATCTTATTATGCATGATGTAAGGGCCGAATGTTGCCCTGAAACAAAAAGAAAATACTCACTAACAACCAGCGTTGTAAATACACCTGCTTGATTAACTGAAAAATACTCAAAAGCTGCTTCAAAGCTCAGCTCTTGGGCATTAAGAATACCGCTGATGTTAAAAGACCTAATAGCAACTCTTGAAATGGCAGGACTAGAAGTGTCGTTGAAGTATCTGCCACTATCAAATACGACTTCAGATCCTACACCTGTGTTGAATGACTGAATATACGACTGAGTCCTGCCAACCAGATCAATGTGTGTAAGACTATCGAATATTCCATTTATTACAACATCATCAAATCTGTATGTATTGTTTGGTTGGAAGATGAAAGAACCTTCAACATGAATATTTTTCCAACCAACCCCAACGTCAAGTCGTCCAGCACGAAGAAGTCCATTAATTATAACATCGTCAGCCAATATTTTTGATGCCATTGTATCCTTTTTCCATTGGCGCTCAATTGATTGATCTGCGTCATCTAGCAGAAGTCGGCCATTGGCGCCGATAATTACCGACTGCATTAAAGTACTGTTTTGACCAATGAAATTCAGTGAATGGGTAATTATCAGATCTCCGTAAATTTCTAGTTCATCAGTGATAAATTCTCCAATGAAATTCACAGAGCGCAAGTATCCATATTCTCCTACAATGAATGTTGTGTAGCCAGGGCCGTTCTGAAATGACTCGCTTGGATTGAATTGTCCGTTGATGTAAACATTCGTGCACGATAGGACTAATTCTCCAGAACCCAACCAGGTGACCGAACCGCCATTATTAACTGTAAATGTAGAACATGCTATATCCATTGAGTTTCTAGATACCATATGACCGTTGATGGTAACTGCAGCGTTCAGAAGTCTGACGTCTCTCGATGTAAGCTTAAGTGTTTGATCAGTAGCAACAGTAAAGTTATCAATGTTATAAATGCTAACCAAGCCTAAATCGGTGTCGCCATTGATATATAACGATTGCGCATTGATTGTGGATGTAGTATGTAATAAATCTCGCGAAACAACATCTGTATTGAAAATAGTATTGACTAATGTCACAGATCTTGCCTCGATATTGACACTGCAGCCGACCCGAAGCTTCGAGTTACCTTCCATTAGTAGGTCTCTTCTGGAATTTGTTAAATTCAAAGCGTAGCCGCAAGATCCAGAGGAATTCGATTGGTCTAATAACACAGACGCACCAGACTGTATTGTCAATGACTGCAGAGAAAGAGTCGAATTGTATTCTGCATCTGTTGGGACGAACATCTGGACGGCAATACCTGTATTACCTCCAACTACCATCCCAGTATTCGACGTTGTCATAAGCGTACCGGCAACATACAATGTTCTAGCAATAGTATAGTCCCCGTCTGCAAGATTGAGAGTTGCACCCTCATACACATAGGCTGTGCAGCTAAGAGATGTAGACGTGCCAGGAATGTTTAAGTCCACAGTTGTGTCTGAGGCAATGTGAAGAAAGCTGGAGGACTGACCAGTAATGCTAGAAACCGCGATGGATCCGTTAATAACAAGGTGATCACTATTACTGATACTGATGTCACGAAGACCATTTGAAACGGATGTTATCCAAGCCGCCGCACCTTAAATTTAATAAAATTGCTAAATAATAATAATAATATTAATAATAAAAATAATAATAATAATAATAATAATAATAATAATAATAATAATATTATTATTATTAATAATAAAAATAATAATATTATAATAATCATCATAATAGGTCTAATAATAGCAACAACAACAACAATAATAATAATAATAATAATAATAATAATAATAATAGTAATAATAATGATAATAATGATGATGATGATAATGTTGATGAAAATGATGATAATGATGATGATGATGATGATGATGATGATGATGATGATGATGATGATCTCACACGGTGCGATAACTTTATTGTCACAACGTTACAAATAATTATTTTGTCTACACTAAAATGAGTAAAAATAGAAACAGTTAAAGAACATTCCTTGAAAACAAAACAATGAATCAATTGATAATAATAGTCATAGTAATAATTAAAATAATAATGATAATAATGACTAAAGTAAAATAATTAAGACGACATAATACCTGACTCTTCGTAAAGAAACGTAGAACAATCAGCTGAAACTTTCATCTGTAAAATGATATTGAGTCAAATCTTATGATAGAAGGTATCATTTTAATAGATTTTTCATGAGTGTCAATCAAACTTAACAACTAACCAATCAGAAAAGGGCTAGAAATGCGAGCGTGTCCTACAAACAGACGTGCTTACGTATTATTTACGTTATTGTTTGTAGGACCTTAGCAACAATATCCAAGGGGTGGTGCTTAGTTGAAAGGTCAATAGTAATTAACATTGCTTAGAATTACTACCACAACCATTATAATTTACGCTGCATGTTCTTGTGATATTGTGGGTCACTTTACATTATTTATAACATATTGTTTACTTTTGTGTAAAGTACAAAAAAGTATTATCATTATGTGATTATTATCACAGAAATATTATTATAATAATAATAATAATAATAATAATAATAATAATAATAATAATTATTATTATTATTATTATTATTATTATTATTATTATTATTATTATTATTATTGTGTGCTATCGCCTGATAAGTGTAACTTTATTATCATTTAGTGTAACAAAAGAATGGAAGTCCACAAACAGAACGCCCACACAAAGATATTCCAAAGGCTTTTTCACGCTAAGCTATAAGCGATATGAACAAATTAGACAGTGTAGCTCATTCGGCTAGGCTGGTGGTAGCAACTGTTTGCACTGAATCCTTTCAGATCTTTGGTCACTGGTTATTAGGTTTATCTGCTGCTTCTTGTGTTGCAACTGGAGGGCTGAATGTGAGTGTTGTTAAGCCTGTTTTCCACTTCCGAGTCGAAAGCGTCGGTTCATGCGCATGCGCATTCGCATTTCTATCGGCGTTTCCGCTTCAGCGAAATCGGTAGTTCGAACTGTCTCTACCTTTTGCGAAGCGAAAAAAGTGCGCAACCAATCAAAGCTCAGGAACCTAACCGACGCCTTCGAGTCCCGCGAATAAATTCGCATAGTGGCGCCAGAGGGGGCTGGGAGGCTATTGGTCCCTCTTCGGGGAAGCCTAGTCCTCCCCACCCCTGTCGGGGAAGACGAATGCATTCCGTCGGGGAATTAAAAAAATATTTTTTCATGTCTGTTCGTTTAGCAACCATATCGCCTTCATTGACCTTTTTGTGTACCGTTTGTGTTAACTTTTCATCACAATAACAACAACAACAACAATACTAATAATAATAATAATAATAATAATAATAATATAACAAATTCACGTGCCGTTTTATTGTAAGTTATCCGACTACCGTATATATTACTTTTCACATTGAATTAAGCCCATGATACACCAGATTTTCTTCACAATAAATTAATTACGGTTCAAACATCTATTGGAACGTAAGTCAGCAGAACAGTGTCAAGTGTCAAAACAGCGTTTTGTTGACACTATTTTTTTTTTAAATGTCAGTGCATATTAATGTTATGTATTGAAATAAAAAAAAATGCAAATGCCCCTCCCCCAGTTTGAAAAATTCTGGATCTGCCTGTTCAATGGGACTTATGAAAAATGGTTTACGTTCTACTAAGACAAAACCTCATGATGCTTGGAATACATCTTGATCGGGGAGCATCCTCGTGGTTTACAAATTTCAGGCAAAATTTCCAAAATGTATAACTTTACTTTGAATTAAAAGCTTTTACTGTGACGTTCCCGGTGACATTGTGTTTTCTTAATTCATCGTAGTATAACATTGTCACAAATTGGTGGCCTTACAACTTACAGTAAGACATTATTCTTATTCGTAATTTTGTTGTTAATAATTCACAATCAAAACCTGGATTTCGCCATGATGGGAGGATAGTATTGTGATGTTATACGGTGTTTTTTTTTTTAAATAATATAAAATGTAAAATATGTATGTAAAAATTAATAAGTTAGTTGGTTACATTGCATACTCTTTGTTTCTCGTTGTTTTAATTTTAAAAAAGTGGAATTTCGACATTAAAAAACATAATGAAGTCATTACAATAGCTTGATGCCTATCAAATAACTAATAAAAAAAATTACCAAAATTCGTCAAATATCCGTAGCTTCCAGGAGCTTCGCCCCCTGGACCCCCATGTGGCCCCAAACCAAGTGAGGCTCGCTTTGCTCGCCCATCCCCCCGCCCACCCCATCGGGGCCCTTAGTGAGCAGCTTAGCTCAGTCAGTGGCAGCCACTGTGTGTGCGCTGAACCGTGAAGATCTCTTGCTTCCCGGTTGAATATCCATTGCTGCTCTCCTTATGTTTTAGCTGGAGGACTGAAATGCAAGTTTAAATAGCGTCCCGTTCTTCGGATGAGACGTTTAAGTCGTTGGTGTCCCGTGTGCAGTATAGAATAAACAATTTTCAGGTAAAGGCGGCAATTTAACGTAAAAAACATGCGTAGTATGCACGGCTGTAGCCGCTGTAAGGAGATGCTTTCATACGCACAGGAGATTCGTGCCAAATGTTCTCAAACACGATAGATATTTTGCGTGCGGTCCACGATTGCCAAATGCCGTTTAACAATATATTGCACATAATTAGGCCTATGAGCTTGCGCCAACTCCCACAAATGGCATTTGGCCTAATTTATTCTTCCTCTTGTGTGAAGAAGTTGAGCTGCGTTAAACCGGTCTGCACGCCTTAGTTCGAAGTTCGTCCGTAATTTTAAGTGTCTAGTGCAGCGTGACCACTGGGAAAATGAAAATTCCCTAGATTGGGTATAAAAAATCTCAAGATTCGCAAAATATTGGTATTAGTACAGGCTAAATGTGACAAAAATCCTATTTAACCTTAAACAAACTCTAATAAAAGGACTGTTTGCATATTCTTGTAGGCCTATACTTGAAAAGTCATGAACAAATTTTGCCACCCTTTTATAGTTGCGTTTACAAAATATTCAGGGTCAAAGGTCAATTACCTGTATGCAGCATGTTCCAGGTCAGAACTCTTCAACTACTTGCTCTAAAAGCACAAAAATGGTGTCTACACCGAGATTTTTCGGGACAACAATTATGGGAAATTTTTGACGCCTTATACTAGCTGCGTTGACCAAATATTCAGGGTCAAAGGTCAGAATAGCTTTTATATAGCATGTTTCGGGTCATAAAATCCTTTAACCGCCTTCTAGTAGATGCGTTGACTAAATATTTATGGGGTTACCATATGACGGTTGGTAACTATGGCATAGATAACTGCAAAATGCCTGTTTCATCCAAAATCACTTTGAAACTTAACGCGGGACTGTCCCGCACGATGCGTGACGGTTGGTAATTATGGCATAGATAACTGCCGGGCCCTAGGTAAAATTGGTAAAAATGCACCTGATCGGACCTAGAGACACTGAGCCTTTAGTGGGGTCTACTCAATCGAAACTCTTAATGCTCATACATTCTGAGATATTTTAAAACAGATAGGCCTACAGCATTTCAGAAATATCTAAAAAAGTATTTTGTTTAAAAGATTCCAAGAATATTGAGAACAAACTATGGTCAAGTTATATAAGCCTATATGTTATCGTTTAGGGCCTATTAGGCATTTCATGAATCTATGATATATTATAATATTGATAACATCAATAGAACATGTATAGGTGGAATTTTGTCCAACCCGTCGTGAAATGTAGGCCTACTGAATAGGCCTACTTAGTGCGTCTAAAAACACTTGTAAAAATGGTACTCGCCACTACTTGGGCTCGAATTCAGCCCTGGCCATCAGGTGCAAGCTCGGTGGTCTAGAGGTATGATGCCAGACTAGTGATCTGGAACTGGAGAACTGTGTTCGAGTCCCACAGAACAACTTTCACACGCACTGATTATTCAATACATTTTCACGACAAGTTGGGCAAAATTACACATATAGTCCCCCCTAATTGATTCTCCTGACGCAAATCCAGGTATTGTTTATTCCATCACGATAATAACAATTACCATTTAATAATAGAACAGTCATCTCGACCTACTTGCAGTGAAGTGAATCTAAAATATATTTATGAAGTTATGATGATCTGAAGTGTTTAAAATCGTACACAATAATAGCTGAACCAACTTTAAAATACCACAAATACAAATGTGCGTGACGATATTTTATTGCTTTAGAAATGTGATTTCAAAAAGTATATTAGTGCATCACGCACTGAGTAGGCCTATTCAATACATATTTACACAGGTTGGACAAAATACATATAGGCCCCCTAACTGATTCTCCTGACGGAAATCCAGGTATTGTCTATTCCATCACGATAATAACAATTACCATTCAATAATACAACAGTCATCAACCTACTTGCAGTGAAGTGAATCTAAATGTATTCATGAATTATGATGATCTGAATTGTTTAAAAACGTACACAATAATAGTTGAACCAACTTTAAAATACCACAAACACAAATGTGCGTGACGATATTTTATTGCTTTAGAAATGTGATTTCAAAAAGTACATTGGTGCATCGTATGTAAGGGCTTGTTTTGTTGGGGGTTTTTTACTTGCAGCGTGTGGGAAATTGGTAATAGGTAAATTGTAATGAATATAATCAATATTATAGCCTCTAAAACCTAATATTATTGAAGGGTCCTTTTAAAGTTTAAATAGGATTTTTTAAAGTTATATTTTAGATCATTAGACCAGATTAGACCTATTAAACGAGCCCCCAATACTGCACTGCCCATACCTACGCCAAGACTGGACCTGAGTATTATTAGTTGTTACATAACGTTTGCTATGCATATATCATGCGCTAGAAGTGGAAGACCATAATGTATTGGGAATGTACCTCTCTCTGGTAGGGCCTACAGTACAATCAGTGTAAAAGTGTAAGGTATAGGAGCGTGGATTTAAACATTTTCTTAATGGTAATGTTCAAAATAAGTGTCAAGGAAAGTAAGTATGATTGTTGGAAAAAATGTCAACATTTTATTTTGATTTCTCACCATGACCTTCGCCTGGGCGAAGTGGGCGAAGGTTTGGATCCGCATCTAGTTAGCATGAATTTTGTAAGCCAGGACCCAGTAGTATTTTGTTACGTTTCTTCTCAGAGGGGGGTTCGTCAGAACCCC